TCAGAGCTAGAAAAAATGGTTAGTCTTACAGAAGAAATTATTTTCAAGTTCCTTAAGGACAGATTATCTATCCATCTTCATTAAGAAAATTGGGGATTGGAGAGATGGCTCAGAGGTTAAGAGTACTGGCTGCTCTTTCAGAGGTCTTGAGTCCAATTCCCAACAACCACATGGGGGCTCACAACCATCCATAATGAGATCTGGTGCCCTCTTCTGGCTTGCAGGCATACATGCAGGCAGAATACTGTATACATAATAATAACTAAATCTTAAAAAAATAAAGAAAAGAAAATTGGTGAGAACACTTGAGCTCTGCTCTTTAGTGAATATTCAAGTGCATTATACACTATTGTTAATTATAGCCTCCATTCCTAGGACTTAAGTCATTTGTAACTGAATGTGATACCTATCAAATAGAAACTTCTCCTCTCCCTCAGCATCAAAAACCACCATTCTTCTCTCTGTTTCTGTGTGTTTGAGTACTCCAGATGTCTCACACAAGTGGCTGGTAATCAACTTTTTAAATTTAGCATAATGTCCAAAGATTCATCAGTATTGACTCATGTGGGAAGAGTTCTTATTACTAAAAGCAGAATAATGTTCTATTTTGTGAGATAACACATCTCATTTATCCATTCACCTTCCGGTGGGCATGTAGTAGGTTTCTTCATTATCATGGGACTTGTGAATAGTACACTGATTATCAATATGAATGCTGATATGACTTTTGAGATCTTGGTTTGAATTCTTTGGGGAAATGCCCAGGAGTAGTGTTGGGTCAAATAACCACCGAGTTATTCTATACTCTTTTCCATAGTAAGAGATCAATATTATATCCCACCAACACATTTCTCCCCATCTTCACCAACCGCAACTGTCTTTTGTTTTGCCTTTGTTTTTTGTTTGTTTGTTTTAAAACCATCCTAACAGACATAAAGAAATACCTCATTGGGGTTTGACTTGACTTGTGAGTGTCTCTTCATAGAATTGGTGGCCATTTCTGTACCCTCATAGGAGAAATGTCTGCTCAATTCATATGCCAATTTTTAAATTGGTTTCTGTCTGTTTCATAACACTGTAAAGCTGAACAAGTTCTTGGGCTGTTTTGGATAATACTCCTTATTTTTCATGTTGTTGTGACTGGGTATGTAATGGGAAGCAAAACAAGAATAAGATGGTTGCATTGGCTCATGGTTTAAGGAGATACAGACTATCAATAGCTGTGAAGCCATGGTAGTGGGGTGCTTTGTAACAGCAGGAGTGTTGGTGGCTGCCAGCTCACATCAGCAAAGGGAGTTGAACTATGATGCTCAGTCAGCATTCCCTTTCTTCCCCTTGGGTTCAGTCTGGGCCCCCACACCTGGAAATGGTGCCACCTACTTTCAGTGTGGGTCTTTCCTCTGGATTAAATATCTCTGGAAACCCCCCTTATAGACACACCTAGAGGTGTGTCTTCTAGATGATTCTAAATCCTGTCTATTTAATAATGATTAATCCTCACAACAGCTACCTTACCTTGCTTACAGTTTGAGATTCTTTTCTTTTCATTGGCTTCCATTTTACTCTTGATTGTATCCTTTGCAATGAAGATGATTTTTAGTTTGATACATCCCAATTGTCTATTTTTGCTTTCGTTGCCTGTGCTATTTCTGTAATATGAAGAAATCATTGCTAAGGCTAGTATGGGGGAAGAGGTTCCCCCTCTTTTCTTGTGGAAGTCTCATAATTTCAGATCTTACACACATATTTTAATCCATTCTGAGTGTATGTGTGTTATAGCAAAGGGTCAATATTGCTGTTCTTTTGCATGTTGATATCCCAAGTGGATATCCACTTTTACTGATGCCACTTGTTAACATTATCCACGCCTAAATTTAATTTCTAACCACCTAAGAACTTTTGAAGGAAGGTAAATCTATCATTGATATTAACTTTAGTGCTGACAAAATCTGGCCTATAACTTCTTGTTAATCTAGAATCATTAATCACAACTTTAAACTAAGTCTCAACCTGTATCACCTCAGGGGATCATTCCAGGTTATGCTTGTGTTATTTATCAGGGAATGAAGCACCTCCGTTCTGTAGGATCAAACTGGCTTTGTTAAAGCCAGTGGGGCTCCCTGAACAGAGGAGGTAAGGCCTAGAGTGATGAGGTTCATGTTGGGCCTGCCTTTGCCTTCCCCTTTCTCTGACTCACTCTTCCAACTTGAAATGACTCAATTTTTATATTATTGTGCTTTTTCTTTCCTCCTTTATCCTTCTCTTGGTTTATTTCCCTTGCTCTTAGAATTCCCCAGGCCGACACTTATCCCATGAAAGTGTGTGCTACCTGGTTTACAAATTGGGGGCAAATTGAAGACAGAAAGACCTGCTACATTACAGGAAAGGGAAGATCCTAAGAACATACCTGCGAAGCCACTTAGACTCTGCTCAGCTCCCTCCCTGTTAGGCCTTTCATCACTCCACAACTCTAAGTCAAACTGGGTGTTACAGTTTTATTGTGTACCACCCCCCCCCCAAGCCAACATTAGAAAGTTAATTCTCAGTGTAAGAGTTTTTGAAAGCAGGGGGTGGGGGGATAATGTCAGGTGACCTGAAAGTAGTGCTGCTTTGTGAGACCTGGGTTCCTTATTGCCTGAGTGGGTTTCTTATAAAAATGCCTCCTTCCTCCTTTTTCCCTGCCCTCTCTTTGCCCTTCCATTATGAAGTGATGCCCCCCAAAAGGTGTTCACCAGATGTAGACCCCCTTGACCTCGAACTTCCCAGGTGTCAGAACTGTGAGAAATACATTTCTGTTCCTTACAAATTAATCAGTCTCAGGTATCCTATTGTAGTAACACACAATGGACTAAGACACTGAGGAAAAAGAGAAAGTCTGTCATGAAGTGAGATTTGCTCCCCTTTGCATTAACTTTGACAAGTAGATATAATTGCTTCCTTGGCACCTGGAAATTTAATTGCCAGAATAAGAACAGATTATCACAATGTCCACCTTGCTTAAGAAATACTACAGATATTGAAGTATGAAAGGAAATGTATTTGGCCTTTGTATGTCTTGACACAGAATTCCTAAAACCTTTGGAATTGCCTGAATAGTAGGTCTGCCTTCTGTTATTCCTAGCATTCCTCTCTCAGAATCTGTGTTTACACTAGTGAGATTACTTAGAGTGGAACCTTTTAGGTGACTTCAGGAGAGGACTAGTCACCAGAATGACATAGTGATCCTTAGAGACTTTTACCCCCCACTCACAGATGAAAAAGGATAGAGAGCTTCAAGCTATAAAACTCTGTGAACAAATGAGATTTGATAACTTCTAGGTTCTTGAACCCAAGGCAGTGCCCGGAAGATGGTATACCCAAAAAGAGCATGGAAATGCATCATGTCCTGTCATATGTATCTCTGCAAGTTGCTTGTTCTTGAGCTGTGTCCTTAATGATAAAGCGATAAGCATTAATCAGTGTTTTCTTGAACATTGTAACTTTTCAGACAAATGATACAGCCCAAGCATGATATCATGGAGACCTTGAGTTTATAGTCAGTGGTTCAGAGGCAAAAGTGACAACCTGGATTGAATAATTAGTATTTGAAGTGGAAGCTGCATTGGGGATTGAGTTCTTAGCCCATGGAATCTGATGCTGACCCAAGTAGATGGTGCCACAATTGTACTGATTTATATGTCACTCTGTTGTCATCACATGTCTGACATGAGCGGTTATGTGAGAGTATGGGGAAATGTGTGTTTTATTGGTGTGCAGGGAAATGTGTGTTTTATTGGTGTATTATCTGAGACTGACAAGTTTATGGAGAATCCTCAGGCTCTTAGAAGGGATTTCAAACTCTATCGAGGCAAGGCCTGTGAATATAAATGCCAGAATCTAAGTGAGGGGGAATAAAAATATTTTACTTAGTCTTAACTCTATTTTTGGCTTATTTTTATATTATAGATGCAAGTTTAATTGATTGAATTCAAACCCCATGTAAAAACTGGGGAGTGGTAGTTTTTGCTATAACCCCACTTCTGGGTCCTCAGAGATGTAAGTAGATACCTGGGATTTGTTTGCCAGCCAGATGAAGAGAACAAGTGAACTTCAAAAACACAGTGGGAGACCGTATCTCAAAATATAGAGAGCATAGAGGAAGACATAGGATGTTGACCTCTGGTCTACACACATACACACACACACATGCTTGCAGTTGCATACACCCAAATGAACACGTACACCACACCCCAACCCTACACAGAGTCATATACTGAAACTAAGCCTCTGGGAAACAACTGAAGGCAGTAAATACAGGGAGGGTGGAAGTAGATAAGAGTTCAATTTAGAAGGTGCAATCTAGTTCAAGTATCAACCTTGCACTGCAGCTAGTGATGAACCTGACCAAGTTACATTCTGCCCTGGTGATGTAGGACATATGTCCTGGTGAGTGTTAATTGTCTAAATTAAATGTCTAGGAGAGCATTACTTCTCAAATCGGAAGACATCTGAAGATTTTTTCGGGGAATCTTAAGAGCATGCACAATCTTAAGAGTGGTGGGATTGACGTGGAAACTAAGCTTGTTCTTTCCTAGTGTGTTTCCAGGTGTGCCAAGGCTGTCCCATGGGCCAGGGCTGGAATAGCAAGGCTGTTGAGTGCCTGCTCATAGTACTCAAGACCTACCAGTTCTTCATATATCCCTTCCTTCTTAGAAGTGTCACATTGAATGTTGGTCAGGGATGACTGTAGACACTGGATATTGACTTCTGATCTACACACACACACATACACACACACACACACACACACACACACACACACACACACACACACACGCAAGCCCGCACGCACACACACACACACACACACACACACAGGCATGCCGGTGCATACACCCAAATAAACAGGTAAACCCCCTCTTTGCATACCATGCATTTCCAGTAAGCTCTGGGTAGCTTGTTTACTTTGTGATGGTGACAACCAACTTCAAGTCTCATCCCTGATGAGTTTCACATGGAGAGACCATGGAAAGACTAGGATCCATTTCAAGCCACAGTGGTGGGTGGTGGTCGACAGACAGAAATCCAGAATTAGTGAGTGAAACAAGAACAGTTAAATGTCCCTCTAGGAGGCTTCCCTTTGTTTCCCTAAGAAGGCTACCAAACACACTGGTTTGTTTTTTCATTTGGATGTTTTATTCCACGAATAGCCTAACAACATAAATGTGTTTCAAGCACACGAATAAACAACATAATAATAAAAAGCACATGGCTCCCCCAGGAATTATCCCTGCAGTTCTGAGTTAAGAAAAAGACAGCAACTTTCACTTGAGAAGGGAATGAGGAGGTATTCCATGTGCTGAAGGGACCAAGAGAGGACAGGAAACAGGAAGTGGGGAAATCAGTACTGCTCTCTTCTCTTCAAATGTGCCCCAGAATTGCTGTGGTGAAACAGGAGGAAGAGGGCTGTCTGGCAAGAAGAGATGCATTTGGTTTGGCACTGACTCTGAGGACAGGAGAACAATGCCCTTAGCTCAGGAGTGTGAGAAAGAAAATTGGCTTTGTAATGAAGCGTGGGCCTGAGCACTCTGACTACTGGGTAAGCCTGTGTAGGTTGCTATGGTGGTCACTTTTCTGTCACTGTGCAAAGTACCTAGGACACCATACACATAACCTTGCATATAAGTTTACTACAGAGATTTTAGCATGCCTGTGTTTAGAGTGAAAACCATTCTATTCAATCTAGTTGTGGGGTTTTCTAAGTGTGATATCATGTCAACATACAAAACATTTCATATTTTGGAGAATTGAAAGCCTGGGAGTTCCAGATGGGGATACTCGATTTGCACTAAAATCACAGAGGGAAGTGTCTAGGTTCCTTAGAGGATAGAAGCTCCTGACCACAGCCCATTCTACAAGAGTGCCATGGTTTAACTTGCTAATCCATCTAACTCATCGAGATACTTTTGCTGAGCAAATTTCTACTCTGGGATATGTTCTTGTATTATGTTCCCCATCATCCCTATCAATGAATTTGGTCAACACCAACTGGGGTTATCATGACCATGGGTCACTTCAGTTCACAGTCATCCATTACTCTGTGTCCAGTTTCTGCCCCTGTACTTCTGAGGCTCTGGGATTAGGATCTAAACTGTGGCTCCCTTCTAAGTAGCTTTATGAACTGAGGCCATTGCTTTACTCTGTTGGCCTTCATTTTCTACCTGGGAAATAGGGACCTAATGACATATTAGCCACTTTTCTCAGCATTATGACTGAGAGAAAGTATACCAGGGTGGGGGGGATTTTTTTTTTGCCTGACAAAATCTTTTTATTTTGGGGGGGTTGAGCTCATGGTAAAGAGGAATGTTGTCTATTGTGGCAGGAACAGCTTGGTCTGTGACACCAACTAGGAAGCAGAGTAAAGAGAATGCTAGTAGCAGCTTTCTTTCTCCTTTTTATTCAACGCAGAATCCCAGCCCATGAATGTGGGTCTTCCCATCCTAGTTAAACCTCTCTTGGAACTTCCTCATAGACAAAAGCAAAGGCTGGGTGTTTCTTGTCTTTTTGTTTATGAGCCTTAGTCTTTAACAGTGGAGACCTCCAGCCCCTGGGTATTTCTTAACGTAGTAAAGTTGGCAATCAGGCTTGGCCATCACAATGTCCCTTCCTGTTATGCTGACGCAGCCTGTTGAAAGCATTTTGAGATGCTGGTCATTGTTGTTATCCACCTTTTATTTAGAGCAAATGACAAAAATCAAGCTTTAAAATTGCTCATTCTTCAGAAATAAGGAGGCTCAAAAATATAAAATAAAGGCTATCTGCACAACTTCATAATCTGCTGGGTGCAAAGCCTACAGTGTGGACACAGCAGGGCAGCACTAGACACCGAGGAAGGCATGGTGACAAGCCACATGCTGTCTGTTGGTTTGCTCTAGGGAAACCATTAAGACCATATATCACCGTTAGTGACAACTTCCAGGCTATTTCCTCTTCTACCCTCTCACATATCCTTCCATGTACCACCAGCTATAACTACCCAGGCTTTCTTAGCTTTTTGTAAGTGCCAAAAATGTAAGAAAATGCCCTAAGATGGGCAAGATGAAGCCTTTTGTACAGAGTCATCATACCGATGAACAAATAGTACTGTGTAAGCCCGTCCATTGTATTGGGATCCTTCTTGTGATGGAAGTGATTCAGTACCTGGCCTTGAGGCTCTGATAACGTATCTGATAAAAGGAATCTAAGCAAGGAAGGAGGATCTCATCTTTGCTCACAGTCTGTGGGGCCAGTCCCTCGTGGCAAGGAAGCCTCAGTATCAGGAGGTTGTGGCAGCTGGTCACATTGTATCTGTAGCAGGGAAGCAGACAGATGAATGCTAGTGTTCATCTCTCTTAGATTACTCTCTCCTTCAGGATCCTAACCCTGAGGTGATGGCCAATGAGTCTTCTTATCTCAACCCAATCTAGACACTCCCAAGCAGAAATATTCAGAAGTTCGTCTTCTAGAGGATTCTAGAAGTATTTACCAACACAACTATCTGCCCATATCTGCTGCTCCTCAGGATGCTTATCACCACTGGCCTCATAAAGCAATAGATAACATCTTCCTCCCTATTATACATATTTGAATGTAGACATGCACAGTGCCTGGACACAGTAGGTGCTCAATAAATGTACATGAATGGGTAGGTGTTGTTAATATGCTGACTCATTCTTCTCACCGGATCTCTGGTAAATCAAGGCACAAAGAATTTATTTCAGCAGTGATACCCTCATTTACATCTGAATCATCTTTAAAAGCTACAACAGCCCAGGATGAGGTGGAAAGGAGGGAAATTCCAAAACTAGTTTGAGATAATTGATGTTTCAAATTTCACAAAGTATAACCCTGTCATTCCAGCATTCATGAGGCTACAAATATATTAAAATACCTGAAATAGTATTTAATATTTCATGACAACTTATATCTTCCCTTCTTTCTAGTTAGTGCATTAGCCAAAACACAATCAGAGGGAAACTTTAAATAGCCCAGCCCTCATAATAACAATCCTTGCTTACATGGAAAAATGGGATGCATTTACCAGTATCTTTAATCAGACACTTTTCCAACACGCTGCTTGCTCTTTTGACAAGGAGCGAGAGGATTCGAAGCTTCATGTGGTCCATTCTGCAGCTCTCTCAGGTTCAGCATGTTTGTAGTGGTTGCTCCTAAGATGGACAGACTTAGTCAGCAGCCATCAGGAAACATGTGTGTAATGTTGGGACTGAGGCAACAGCTGGCCTGGCTCCTTACACGGCCTCAGACATTAAACCTCCAAACAGAACGAATATACCCCCACTATCTCATAAGCATGTTTGTCAAGGGAAACTGGGTGCAGAAGAACGGAGGGTTCCATATTGGCTTGAGCATATGTTAAAGATGTCAGCAAACCAAGGCACTGATGGCTGACAGTATCTCATGCCTGGCCTTTGAGGTAGAGCACCTTCAGACCCAGCTCTCAGAGATGGAAAATTACAGCCTCCAGCTGATCATCGAGTCCAGGTCAGCAGAGGCCCTGTGGTGGTTCTACAGATTTGTGCTACTGGTCTCCCAATCTATAACCCTTAGATGACATCACAGTTCTTGTCTCAGAATCAGGATCCAAATAGATAGTCTGTGGATGTTGGAGTTGTGAAGTCCCCAGGGACTGTCTCCAGATGCTCAAATGTGTCTAACATTTTGGTTACCTTCCTACCACTCTTTTACTCCTCTTAGAATTTGAGCCCTCAAGTTGTTCTGCACCCCCACCTGATCCTGAACTCAGATTTCAGATCTTTCAGCTAATGACTCCACCCAACCCTTCCCTCCCCCTTCTTCCTCTGGCTTCCCTTCTTTCCTTTTCCTCCCCATCTCTTCCCTTTCTACTTTCCCTTCCTAGCTTCCCCCTTGTCTTCCCTTCTCTCCCCTTCCTTCCCCTTTCTACCATGCCTACTCTTCCTTCCCTCCCTTCCTCCCCCTTCCCTTATTTTTCCTTCTCTTTCTGCTCCTTCCCTTTCCTTCCCTTCCCTTCCTTTTCACCTTCCTTCACTTTTCCCCTCTACCTCTTATACTCAAGGTTTGAGAATTTAAAGGTGAAGTTTACAAAATAGAAAATAAATGAAAAAGCAAGACTGAGATAAGTTATAAACATTTCTTACCTTAGTTTATTTTCATCTTTTGTTTGGATTAGTTTGTTTCCCTTGTGGGGACCACAGCTATCCTGTGAGTGCAGCTTGCTCAGAGAATGAACTCTCCATCCCCAACCTTGCAACTGGGCTCCAGGAAGCTAGCCTAGGGCTAGCATGTGACTGTGGCCACATGTCAAATCTGGCTTGCTAGAAGCAACAGCAACTCCCATCCAAGCACCTCCAGAAGGGAGCCTGCATTCTGGGGCCATCTGGAGGCTGCTTTGCCAAGTCATCTATTTTTTCGCCAGAGAAGCTGTGGAAAGAGTTAATCAATCACTAGCCAGTTCAAACATAGAGGCTTTCCCCCACTTGCTGCAGGTCATACACCGCTCCCAGAGCCCGAGGAAGCCCAACATCAAAGCCAGAGACTCAAAGCAAGTGACCAAATGCCCAAATGGAAGTGACTGAAGTAGAGAAGCCTTTACAAAGTGTCACATTTTCCTAGAGCCCACAAAACAGGGCAAAGGCGACAAAGGGTCCCACTCAAAGTGAACTTAATAGAGGCAGGAAGCCACAGGCTGAGGCTTCCCACTAGGATTGCCAGTCTCGCCTTCAAGCTCTCTCCAGAAGAGCCTCGGTGCAGGTGTGCAGAGACCAGTGACCACAGCTGCCTTTCCATGAAGTCATGCCAGGAGAGGCTTTGCCTCTGCATGTCCTTGGGCTTCTGTAGAAATCTATGACCATGTTCCTCACCATCCCACTTAGAACACTGCTTTGAATGGGCCACAGATGGCAACTGTGCGACCATGCAGCAGATAGTGAGACTGCATTGGCTCTCAGGCACCTTCAGGCCACTGGCTCTCTGCCCCTTAGTTAGGATGTTTCTCATTAGCTTTCAGGACAAGAGGAATGCAATCTGTCTTCCACTTTTACATCCTGCCTGGGTGACTGCCTAATAAGACAGACATGTTGGGAAGAGAGTGTTTCTATTTCTGTGGCCACACAGGATTGCTCTCAGCCTTCTCAAGCCTAAACATTGACGACACTGAGCATTCCTTGATGATGTGGAGTCACTGAATGGATTAAGTGACAGAATTCCAAGGGAGGCTCAGTTCAGTGCCTTGCAGATGGTGTGTGTACTCCATAGGTAGTTTTTCCTGTTGCTGTAGGTCATGTATTCACTCAGCAAACAATTCTGAGAGTGTCCTCTCTGTCCTAGGCATCAGGGGCGGTGCGAAACAGACAGGTTTCTTGGCTTCCCCAGAGTTTACAGCCTCAGAAGAGGAATAAGATGCTAAACAAGTTAGATGAATGACCAGTGATTCCTGCAATGATGAAATGAGCAGATGTTTATGTCCTAGAAAAAGGATGGGCCTGGAGCAATTTAGCCTGGGAGTTCTAGGAAGCTTCTTTAGTGATGTGAGGACTTGGATGAGATAGTTCAGCTGATAAAGTACTTGCCATGCATTCATGAGAGCCTTGGTTCAACTCCCAGAACCCACCTAAAAAGCAAAATCCAGACAGAGTAGGGTGGGTTCACTGGGCAGATTCCCAAACTGGTGAGTTGCAGGGAAAAGTAAGAGATACTATCTTGAAAACCAATGTGTGGGGCACATGAAGAATGACACCCAAGGCGGATCTCAGTTTCCACATGTATGCACGTGTGTGCATGTGCATAGACACACACACACACACACACACACACACACACACACACACACACACACACACAGGAGTTGAACTGAGAGATTGGCCATCTGAGCACAGGACATTCCAAGCAAAGTCAACAAGAAATGCAAAGGCTCTGAGTCACAGCTAAGCTTAGCAGTTCTGTCTGTGGTCTTGGGAGATGATGGCATTGGAGAGCTGCAGGGAGGCGCAGAGCATGGAGTGGGGATGCCACAGCCCTGGCCCTGTCATTTCTGTATAAGCTCCAGGTCTGCAAATGATCAAGGAGCACTTTTGCACTTCACTCCTGTCACCTTGCCAGGTTCCTGTATGAGACAGGATGTGTTGATGTCACTTCCTATAGCCTTTTGAAAACTCCTTGTGTCATTCATAAAGATTCAGACATTTTCCTAAAAGGATGCAGAAGCTGTGAGGCAGGCAGCTTGGACATTTCTGAAGAAAAGTTCATACATTTACCATCAAGGCAAAGCTGAGGCAACCTGGGCATTGTCCTTGTAGGATGACTCAATGACTAAAGCTTATTCTGTTTGGCTGGGAACTGGATATCCATTTCTGAGCTACGTAGACTCTGCTGTGAGATGCAGTGTGCTGTGTGTGTGTGTGTGTGTGTGTGTGTGTGTGTGTGTGTGTCATGTGGAATCTCATTCTGTAATTTGCGTCTCCATTCTGCAACTTCATCACTGTGAGACCTAGGCAATGGGTTAGCAGGGTTTCCGGGGTTCTATCTAGAAAGGAGATAATGCTATTTATGCTATAGTGATGCTGTTAGTATGAGGTACGAGCAGTAGCTGGCTGGAAGTAGGGACACTCAGCAGACAGGTCTAATGTAGCAGTGATAACGCATGTGTCAGGTGTAGATGTTACCAAAGCACTTGCCACGGGCCAAATTAAGACTGCTAAAGTTTTATTGAAATACAACTATACCCATTTGTTTTAAATTGTCTGTTCTCACGCCATGAGAGAAGGTAGGATAACTATGAAATATCATATGCCACAAAGTTTTTAACATTGGAATCTGCCTCATCATGGCAAGATGGACACCTTGGATCTAAATACCTCTCTTCCCTTTGGGTTTTGCAATACCTAAGATTTTGATCCATGTCATAAGATCCCCCTATCTTGCCCACTGTGCCTAGCAGACAGCAGACAATTTCTGAATCCAAATTTCATTACACTAAGTGAAATTGACTTGAACTGAACACACATATCTAATATGATTTAGATTGATGATTGCTTTGTTGAACCTTTGGCTTTCTCCCAAAGAGTGCTTTTCATTTTTATTTTCAAAACTCATGTTGACTCCTATGTCTACAAGGCTCACAGATATTATGGGTTGGAAGCTTACCCAACATCACTTTGCCCCCGACAAAAACTTATGTTCAGGGGTTGAGTAGACACTGCCACCATGCCATAACTCTTCTATCCTCAAGGATGTGCAACTTTGGAAAGGATGACTGAAGCACTCTTGGTGTACCCACAGTGGAAGAACAAATAGTCTCATGACTGTGCAGCTATGAGACAAAGTCTAAGCCAAGCACCCAGGGTCACAATGTCTTGAGCATCCTTTCTCTTCCCCAGAACACTCCTGTCTTCATTTCTGGTGCCCCCCTCACCCCAGCCAGGCCCAGTCTCCTTGCTGCTTTTCTCAACTCTCTTAAACACTTCATATAGCAGTTCCTGTAACAGGATCACTCTTCCCTAAGACAACCACAATCTCCTGCTAATGCAGACACAATTTCTATTCTGCCTCGTCCTGCAGCCCCTCAGTCTTATAGTAGGCTTATATGAATTATAAGCTGCTTGGTTGATGGTTCGGGCTTCTTATTGGCTAGCTCTCTCTTAATTATTAACCTATTTCTATTAATCTAAGTATCTCTACATGGTCTTGGCTTACTGGAGAATGCCCAGAGTCCATATTCCCAGTAGCTACATTTTCCCCTCTATCTACATCTTATTCCTCCCACCATATTGCCTCTGCCTCCTGCCACTCCTTTGAACATTGTCGACCCATCCCATGCCATCCACATGCCATTCTCTGTCTCCTCTGTCACACTCAGAACTTTCTGCAAACACCCACTGTTCCTTATTAAGTTCATCATTCATCTATTCTTTCTAGTCTATGTAATTCTTTGGGAACAGGCTGTTCTATGTGCTGTTTATTGATTTATTTCAATCAAGCCAAAAAATGTATACATTCCTGTAGTGACAAAACACACACAGCACTTACTCTCTAACATTGTTTCATCTTTTTTTTCAAAATATAAACTGACATAATGTGAGACTTTCGGTAAATATTTCTACAGTTAAGGGTGAAATGGAGAGGCTATAACAAGGATGTTTCTTTGAGGAAAGATGAGTGTTCCAGCCTTATTCTTAACCATTTCTGCTGTGTCACCTAGAACAAGACTCTTCAACTTCTTACCCATTCTTTCTTTTCTTCCGCAAGAAAATAAAAATGAAAGCATTCATTTGTGCACTTTCAGAGGGGATTAAATGAGATATTGTCCAGAAGGTCTTGGTATAGACCTACTATAGAAGGAGATGAAGAGGGTACTAACATGATGATGCTATGGCAGTGGGCAGACACTCAAAGTACCTAGCTTTCTTGATTTTTATGGCCGTCTTTCTTTTTCCTTATAGAGCTAAAGAGGACTATTAGACTGCTCCACTAAGTATCATTCACACAAGTTATGTTTAAAAAATAAGGTTTTATGAACAGATTAAGATATAACATATTATAATTTTTTGTTTTTTATTCCTTTGATTAAGAACACATTTAATATAATAATTTAACACAAAAGCATATGTACTTGGCTTTGGCAAACACAAGCATCTCTTATGTGTCTCACATAAATTAAGCTTTGACTCCAAGAGCAGAGATCACACACAGTCAACAGAGTTGGTGTAACCACTATCCCACAGCTCACTCTCCAATAGTGGCCAAGGATGAGTGAACAACATTATCAGTACTGTAATGAGACACAGCCACACAGGTCCCTAGAGATGTTCCCTCTTAGTGACTAAGGTCACAGGCCACTATCTTTGCATTTCTCAGAACTTCCACTTGTCTTAATATTTCAATTAATGTTTATGTCACCTTGTTGTGCTGTTTTTATTATTACACACTTCTTCCAAGAGGAAGATGAAATGCAAGGAAGTTAAATCACCTGAAATCACAGAGTTAGTAAGATATACAGGCAGAATTCGGCTCACACCCTCAGGTCTTCATCCCACATTTACATTTCAAAATGGCTGACAGATAGCTCATGGGTACTTTCTGAGCTGTTGCACATTTAGAATTTGCCATCTGTGGAGAGTGTATCTATTGTCACAATATTGTAAAAGGCTTAAATAAGCTAACATAGAAGAGTAATTTGCACAGACCTAGTCACTGGCAATAGATCCCTGGCAATAGTTCTCATATCCATGTCTTATTCCTGAATTGTTTTATGGTTATAGAGTTCTGGGTGGGTATATGAACATGTAGAAC